GCCGAGGCGCGAGGTTCATAGGAGGTCCGGGGGCATGCTTGCCCGGAAAATTTTGAAAATTGAATCTTGAAAATTGAATCAGACCGCTAGCGACACAAATCAGTCCATCTTTTAAAGAAAAAAGTGGACCTATGTACTCTCCAAGCAGAGGTTGGTGGGGGAAGATCGTCACCGTTTTATATATGCCTCGTTTTTTTTTGTCGCCCCCCACCCAACTGGGTGGGGGGCGACAAAAAAAGAGAGCAGACCTATGAGCCTTAGGGCTACGGGCATGATCTAGATTCTATGTTTTTCACCACCGGCTTTGAAAGTTCAGTTTTGTCTTTCTGAAATTACATTGGATGCCTTTAATAACTGAATCACCTTGCGTGTATTTTAGGCTGAGATGGCAGCGGAGTTCGACAAGACGATGTCCAGCAAGTTAGAAAGGTGCGAGAAGCTCAGCGGCTCAAACGGCTTTCTTGTTGGGAACAGCGTAAGTATCATGAAAGTTTAGTTTTTTTTTTTAATATTTCCCACGTCATTTTCAACAATTCTACAAAGTGGAGTTCCAAATAATGAAACATGAGCTAACAATGTAATTTTAACATAGAATAAATATTTCCTATCTCGTTTTTCTTCATGCAGCTTCTCTGCTGTGACCTGGTTCTGCACACCGTGGCGTTTAACATCGAGAACTACAAGCCGGGAACTCTGAAGGGCTACCCCAAACTGGCCAAGGTCATGGCCAGCGTCAATGCCAACCCAAAAATCGCAGCTTGGATCGCCAAGCGTCCGGACACCAAGTTCTAGTTCAAGGAACTGTTTTGACCCGAATAGCTCTATTCACAACTTGAAGCTGTGTGTCACTGATCCACTGTGCACTGAAACAAGGCGGTCCCAAATGTAGAAAATTTGATGAAATTGTTCACGTATGTTTTGACACGTCTTGGTCTGTACGAGGTACCAGCTATGAGATCTGCACCATAGAGCAATTGCAAAGTAATTGTTATTCTTCATTTCAAGTGTGTAATCCGCTCACCAACGGTTGTTGTAAAGAGTACGAAATCATGATAGGTGATTGAACGAATAAACGATTTACTGCATATCATGATGTGATTTTTGTGCTAAATCTAGACAAGAGATGTTATATTCTCATCCCCATCATTTCCAATACACGAAATGCTATTATTTAAATTTAACACAACTTAAAGTATGCCTAAAGGTAAATGCCGGAAAAGAAATTGAACCTTTTCGTATGCATATATGCGCATTAAGATGTGCGTAAAGGATAGGTTTTGTGCAGTGTTCCATACAATAGACGACATGTGTTAGACTTGAAAACGTAAACCTATCAGAATACAAGATTGGCCAATTTGTCTCAAAGCTAAACGGAGAGACCTACAATGCAAACCAAGTATAGATACTTCTCCTCATAATCTTTGTCCAGACCACATAATGTCGACGTTTGCCTAGCTATAGTCTACAGTGAGCATGTTCGATTGGAAGGAACCATAGCAAAGACGGGGGTCTATTATACTGGGTGCAGAAACGTTATCATTGTTGCTAGCATTGTACTTTAAGATTGAGTTGCCTTTTGTCATAAGAAAAACCCCTTAATATTGAATGGTACGGTCTTCTCACGTCATCATTCTTCAGTAAACATCGTTTTTGCGTCGGGCTACGTTAAGTAGGACAGTAGTGGTCACTCGGCCATTGTGCGTGAACTCACTCCACGGACGGCGTCTTCACACCTCGCTCTACCGTTTGTCGCGACTCCGTTGCAACGTTCACTAGCAAAGCAAAATGGCGCCCAAGTACAAGCTGACGTACTTCAACGTGAGAGGACGCGCGGAGCTCGCCAGGCTCATTTTCGCTGCTGCGGGAGTGGAGTTCGAGGATGCCCGGGTGGACGGGGCACAGTGGGCCGCCATTAAAGAGAGTGAGTCGTCGATTCACCTGTACTATAAATCTGCACTCTTGTACATGTACAATCATCACCGTACGAAATCGTACCTTTAAACATACCTTAAAGCATTCAGTAAGGTACTTACCAGGGAAAAAAACGGAACCTTTACGTTAAGAATGGGTTTTGTGCAGTGCATTCTCTACTAGAGCCTTCTAGGGACCGTAAAAGTGGCCGAGTATGTAGTGAGTACACGCTGACTGAAGCAGCACCGTTTGCAGAATCTCCGATCCAGTTTACCGAAAATCAGTGGCAGGTTTCCTGCGATGACAAATTAAATGGAATTCGTCGGTTTTTAAACAAGGCTAAATGGCCTCCGCACGTCGTACGCAGAAGCCGCTTAGCCACCCTAGTAGACAAATATGGAAATCTGTATTGCTATGGTAACGCGAAGTGGGCTAAACGATTTGTGTACTTTTCCCTACGATATAGAAGATAAGATGCCGGTTGGTTAATATTTAACATGGCATCTTCCTTATCACAATGACTCAGCATCTTACAACAAACGTTGAGCACTCATGGACCCAAACCTTTGACAGTTCTGTAGACCATTGAGCTTTGAATCATTCGGACCAACTAGGAGTTTATATCAACCAAGGAAGGTTTAAAATCAAACTTCTTGTATCAACTATGTTTCTATATATCACCTACTTTACGAAAAGCTTCAGACGTTTAAAGTTTACTGGTTTGATATATGATTGCTCCACTCCAAGGGTTTGCTTCTTAAGATTTTATGGAAACAAAAGCAATTGTTTACCAGCAAATAATTACTAGCAATCAGTGCTGTTGAATATCTTCTGCGAAATACAGTATATACAAAACAGAGATGTCCTGGAATTTTTCTCCATTTGCTGGCGTCAAGTGCTCGTAAAATCACATGTCTTGAGTAGTGAGTGGTCATTCAGACTTGACGAAGGTTGTATGTGGTGTGGTATTGTCTATGATCACTAGTTGTTGTCCACTGTAGGAGTTAAGCCGTTTGGGACTAATGGGCCATATATACCACACTACTTTCAGGAAGGTCAACTTGTATTGTGTATCATAATTGTGATATCACCCATCTTGTAAGCCATGAAGCGTTACTAGTACGTTGGTGTGGTGGACATTATGCAGTTTATACTTCCCGAAGGTCTGGAATCTCAGCCGTCTTGTTTCCTTCTATCTTCCCCAGCGGCGCCGATGGGCCAGCTGCCGCTGCTGGAGGTTGACGGGAAGACGATGTGTCAGAGCACGGCCATATTCCGTTACGCCGCCAAGGAAACAGGTAGTCCATCCGCTATCATTATTTTCTGTGGGGTCGGCCTGGTAGAGGAACTAGGTTTCTGTGCCGCCATCTTACAGATTTCCTCACACTTTGTTAATATGTAATGTCAAATAAATAAAATAAAATACCATGTCCGCAGGTCTGAGCGGGAAGCCTGGCTGGGAGGAGGCACAGGCAGATATGTTGGTCTGTGGGATGGAAGATCTGTTCATTAAGCTTGTGACAGCTCACTTCGAGAAAGATGAAGCCAAGAAGGTCTTTTATTTCCATTTCACTTTTTTTGTCCATAATATCTCAGTAACGTAGTTTCAACGCTGTTCTGTATAAGATAATTCTGGTAATGTTTTAGTTGGTCATAACTTTAAAAGCTTGGATGAATAATCAAGGAAATGTTTTAGAAAAATATCATTTTCTTGTGGTTTTCTTTGTGTGATATGCTTGCTCTGTGGATGACTTTTTCCATCGCTCACCCCAGGAAGAGTTGAAGAAGGAGTTGGTTACCTTCGTCCCACAATTCTTCGGCAACTACGAGAAACTCTGTGGACCTGACGGATTTTTTGTCGGTTCCAGCGTACGTATCCGTGACAAAACTAACCTTTTTTTTAAACCTAAGGTTTACAATACTTAACTTTTATAATACTTAACACAGACTACGTGTCTTTCATAGCCTATGTCAAAGGTTCAAAAAGTATTCTGGTCCAAGCCCGTACCTCTACACGAATGTGGACATTGTCTTGAAAGAGTTATGGTCTCATGATGAATTATATTATCATTGGCAGAAAAAAATTGGACTCTCCAATAGGCTTTGCGCAAATGGTAACACCGGTAGGATGATATGTCTTTTCTGCACTGGAAACTGATACCTATCACTGTAGTGAGGAATGTTCTTTGGTTATGTTCTAGCAATTTATGCAGATATCTACTAGTATTTAATCACCGATGATTGTCGCAATTTTGGTTCGTTATTGCATATTCTATAGTTGTAGTAAATTACCACGCCCTAATATCACTGTAATTTTACTTCTGTTTATTCACAATGACTCGTATTCAGTATATGTAAAGGCATAAACGTACAATAAAAGTCTTTCATCCGTTTCTTTCTTATAGTTGACCTACGCTGATCTGGCCTTCTTTGCTGGGACGCACAATATTCTGAAGGAGCGTGCAGACGCCCTGGAAAACTTCCCCAAGCTGGCCAAGGTGATCGAGAACGTAAAGGATAACAAGGGAGTCGCCGCTTACATCGCCGAGCGCCCGGACACAGCCGTGTGATGGAACAGACCTAGGGCTAGCCTGATATCCAGTCTTACGTGATTGGGGGTATTGGGATGTTCAGGCAGGTTGTGCCTTCGGGGGCTCTAATAGCTTCCCCCGCCCAGTGCAACAGGCCGTCCCGGTAGGAGTGTTACGCTAATAAGAGACAGTATGCTTAGGGATTTGCTTTTTCTCGTGGAGGGCTAATCAATCTCTCGTGAAATACACACCGGGAAACCTATGTGAGGCGGGCGGGACAGAGCTCTTGTGGCCCCGACCACGATCAGACTGGATACCAGGCTAACCTAGGGCCCCATTCTGTAGATCACATGTGTTGTTGAGATGCACGTAATACTGTTTTCTAATAAAGACACTGCCTCTTTCATGACAAATGAATGTGTCGTCATTGTCTTTTCCACACTTTTCGTAACAAGGCAGGCAATAAAAATCATTGCCAAGGCGACGACAGAATGATAAATTATTGCATGTGTTGGAGCTAGCAATCTCCATTGCAGCTATAAGAAAAAACAGATTTCCCTATTTTATAAACATGCATGTAGTGAAATTTACAGGATAGGTGGAGGAGGTGTGGGATGACAGATGCCTAGTAATTAATCATGACAGGCAGCTGGATGGGTGACACGTGGGTACCCGGTGTAAGCAAGGTGTAAGTTACCTGCTTGGTCCAAAAGCCACATGGCCGAAGGTTACCTCAAAACCAATTCCCTAGGGAATGCATTCGTGCATTTTTAAAAAATTCTCTCAAAGTGATCGTAGTACATACACAAATGGCTCCGCCCCATAGGCGTCGCCAAAAAGCAAACACAACCTCATCCGAGGACAAGTTGAGTTTACCAATGATAGTAAATGCAATTACAAGGCATTACAAATTGAACATTACCCGACTTGACTTAGCATTTACTACCATTGGTAAATGCAACCTTTAGTGCAGTGTCAGGCACAGGGAATAGCGACATATTTTCTAGTCACACATAAGTTATAGTAGAGAATACAAGAAATATTTCTTAACGTTCCTCCTTCTCTTCCATTCATAGGTTCAAAAGTTGTCGTGCTAAAGCACAAACATAGTAGCGGTAGTAGTAGTAGTAGTAGTAGTAGTAGTAGTAGTAGTAGTAGTAGTAGTAGTAGTAGTAGTGGTAGTAGTAGTAGTAGTAGTAGTAGTAGTAGTAGTGGTAGTAGTAGTGGTATTGGTTGTAGTAGTAGTAGTAGTAGTAGTAGTAGTAGTAGTAGTAGTAGTAGTAGTAGTAGTAGTAGTAGTAGTAGTAGTAGTAGTAGTAGTAGTAGTGGTAGTAGTAGTGGTATTGGTTGTAGTAGTAGTGGTAGTAGTAGTAGTAGTAGTAGTAGTAGTAGCGGTAGTAGTGGTAGTAGTAGTAGTAGTAATAGTAGTAGTAGCGGTAGTAGTAGTGGTAGTAGTAGTAGTAGTAGTAGTAGTGGTAGTAGTAGTGGTATTGGTTGTAGTAGTAGTAGTAGTAGGCAGTAAAGTAAAGCTAACGTGGCTGTATTTCTGTCTAGATCGACCTGTGACCTTCTAATCCACGCCTTTCGATCGTACGCCTTTTCAAACATTTAATTTAGTAGATCCAGGTTAGGTAGGGACAGAAATCTTCGGTTGCTACCTGGCTAGTTTGTAAATGGATGACCTATCAACAGGTGCCCACGACCCAAATACGTCGCAGGCAAGACGGGGTCGACTGCAACGATATGCGAGATTTACTACATTAGAGACTAACTTAAAATGTTGGTAACAAAGTACTCGTGGTATATGTCAAATCTCAACACTTGGGTAGAGAGATATCATATAAATGTAGCGTGCACGTGGCAGTTCACTTGAATGGGGTTACCCCCTAGAAATTAAGTGGTAGAACCCATTTACCAAAAAACGCTGTGTCAACTTTGGGTACGCCCTTCTTGCATCGCGTAGTTCTCTGAGCAGAGCACAGCCGTCACAGAGTGTTAAAAAAAGACTTTATCACATCTGAATCTTCAGCATTTTGTCAACAAGGATCAACAAGGTGAGGACCACGCGCCATGGCCCCTAAGTACAAGTTCACGTACTTTAACGCGAGAGGTCGTGGCGAGCTGATCCGGCTAATCTTCGCCGCAGCAGGGGTGGAATTCGAGGATGTCAGGTTCAACTTCGAACAATGGTTTGCCTTCAAGGCCAAAGGAAGTGAGTTTTCGTATAGAGGTTCTCTCTCTAATCTTCTCTATCTACTAGTATTAGACTCCAAGCAGATCTCTCTCGGTGGCAAAAAGACAGTATCAAATTGGCCAGGCAGTATCCATTAGCCAGAGAAGCTCCGCGGCCACCGACGGTGGGGGTCAGGACAAAAAAAAAAGGCCATATATAAAAATGTAACGATCATTCCCCCACAACGTCTGCTTGGAGAGTATCTATCTATGGCAATCACTCGATATCATTATTTGCAATCAGATACAGATTCATGTACAGATATACAGATACAGATTTTCCGAGTAGGATGACCGTGCCAGTCCCTACACCTGAGTGAGGGTTACAGTTGACACGGTGGCCTTCGCGTGGATTTGTTTAAGGTGGATAACAGGTTGTGAATCTGAGACCCACACACTTGGACTAATCTTCTAGCCTCATGTTTGACCATTGTCCCAGGTAAGCTTAGGGGTGTTTTACCGGCCCCAGTCCTACTATTAAGTATATACATGTAAATATAGGCCTTTCTTGTGACATGATAGATTTTTCCAACCGGCCTTTCTGTGCCTACCATTGCCATCCTGTAGGCGAACTAATTGAAACAGACCCCGTAAAAAATACGACCTGCACTAATTGGACCTAAGCGGGCGGGCAGTACTCCCAGCACCGTAGAGATATCAGAGAGTCTCCGATGATCTGCTGCCAGGCTAATTTGAAAAAAAAAGCAGGAATACTTTTGAAAGTCCCCTCGGCCAGCGAGTTCTTTCCAAGCGTGACCAGTGGTTAGCAGCATCATGAGCGTGGCATTGTTTGCCATGGAGACAGCGTTACATACGTATGCCTCGCCTCAGTACAGGGTAGTCGCTTTTTTTGAACGGAGTTGTTCAATGCAAGACCTATACGACCACTTCTCGGCATTGAACTAGAAATATGAGAGAAACATGGCTATGTCAAGAGATGGCGGTGAACGTTTGATTTGAAAGCCTGTAGATTGTAGGTTGGTGGGAAACACTCGTCAGGGAGGGAATTCCAAAGCTTGGCCGTACGGGGAAAGAAACTGTCACTGTAAAAAGATTTCGAACAATTACCTCTAAAGTTTCAACTTTAATGAAACAGTCAAAGCCTTTAGACTGAGCCCTAAGTTTACACTAGCTGATTGTTTATGTCATTTTGAAGTGCAAGCTCTCTTTCTAAGCCACTATATGTCTCCAACAAGCACGCACGCTTTCATACAGTCAGTAAATAATTTTATCAGGTTCCTGAATGATTGAATAGCGACGTTCTTTATTGGCTCCCACTTGGTTATCAAGAGCTCTTGTTAAACAAGTGGTAGTAAATAAAGGACGTTGCTATTCAAGTTGTCTCTCACAAAACACGCCATGCCAGCAAGAACACATACAGATGCTTGGAAAAACTTACCAAGTAAAATTTGCACCTGTACACGCAAATTCCGGCAGGAGATATTTGTATGTGTAAATCTTTCATTTGGTCAGTTATGTATCTGTACTTCTAGTATATAACTCTAGGAAGAATATCTTACATGTTTAAGGTTAAAACTTTTGTTTCAACACAAAGAAATGTGCTCACCAAGAGCTTTCGACCAGTCACTTTGGACTTCTCTGGACGCGTGACAAGCCTCACTGGGTCAGTCTACTGAGGAAGTCCAGAGAACATTTTTTTTGTATTGGAACAAACGTTCTAACATCAAACAGAAGAGTAGCTCTGTATGTATATTTTATGAACGCTAACACAGTATCCAAGAATACCCAATAGTTGTAGTGTCAACAACGGTTGTTTGTCTGTTGATTTTCTAGCGACCCCGATGGGCCAGATGCCGGTTCTGGAGGTGGATGGACAGATGATGTGTCAGAGTCTGGCCATCGCTCGCTACGTCGCCAGGGAAAACGGTAACATTTTCTGTCATCTCAGTCACTTTGGAATTATATTGTAATTTGCATTACATCATAACATTTAATGTTTGTTCCTAGAAACTTGATGATTGAAGAACAGCGTTTTAACAGATAGATTCTATCATAAAAATAATTTGTTGGCTTTGCTTTCATTCATTCATAATAGAAGTTATTGTTATTTTTTGTTTGCAATTTACAAAATGAGGGAATGATATCATATAGTTATCCATTAAATGTCTCTATGATGGTTGGTTAAAATTTAGTACTTGTCTTGTCAAGGTAATTGCCTCTAGATCTGGAGATAACAACACTACCTAAAGCCGCAAGTGATTTGGCAAAGATTTACTTAGGAGTTAAAGACACATAACGTTATCCTCGAAGTCTACAATGCAGGTTAGGTCAGTCCATATATAATGATAATTATATCTGTAATTATTTGTTTTCCTTGTTTTCTTATGCTATGATATTTTCTTTGTGTTAATATTGGTTTCTTATGTTGTTCTTACTCATAATAACGTATGATTTGACTAATGGAAATTTATTTTTTTGTTCAATATGATATGTTCTTGATTGTCTTACTTTATTGTTTAGATATTCAATTCGCCGTGTTAACTTTATATTATCTTGTACCTATTTTGAGTTAATTTGTTTGCTTGTCCCTTAATACATTGCAAGTTTAATGTAAATGTAATAAATGTATGTAAATAAGAGATCGTAAAATTAATAGGATTTGGGAGAGTCCACTGGACAAACCTTTAGGTTTCTTGGGCTCTCCAGCATATATTTGCTTGTATGTAATTTCATTTTATACTGTTACTTTTTTATGTGCAAAATGACAATAAATAAAAATAAAAAATAAAAATCTGCAGTGCCCGATTGACGTCAAATTCTAACATGGCCGCGGCGTGTGGATGCCTGCGAACACAATACAGGGTTTATCTCTCCTCACACCTGTAACAAGGAATTTCATTCTCTTGACTGCCAGTCTGTCTGTCCCGTGTTGTCAGGTCTGTGCGGGAAGACCAGCTGGGAGGAGGCGCAGGCTGACATGCTTGTGTGCGGGGCTGACGACCTCCTGACCAAGCTGATAAAAGTTCGTTTCGAAAAAGACGAGGCTAAGAAGGTAACGCATCACATTCCTCTTTGATATTACTCACTGGGCAAACCACATGTAGAGATTTTCCCTCAAAAATGATAATCTTTGTGTCGGTGAAGGTTAGACATCCAGGTAATAAGATATTCCAAAAAGCACTTACTCAAGCAACTGGATATGATTTTGAAATAATCCTTGTGTCTGTAGCCTTTGAAGTGCGGTGCAACTTGCCAGCGTTGAATGAAGACCATTCGGGTTGTAAGCTTACATTGAGAATTCGAACGTCTTTTTCAGGAAGAGGGAAAGAAGGATCTGGCCACGTATGTCCCCAACTTCCTCGCCAACTACGAGAAACTCTGCGGATCTGACGGGTATCTTGTCGGCAAAAGTGTGAGTGCCTTGGCTGTCAATAACTACTGCAATTTCTTCATACCATCTACATAGATTGCTAGAACTTGCCTGTGTCTCATGCAAAGATACAAACATAAGTTTTTTCTTGTACATTCATGGGCTAAGCACGGGTATCGAAATACGAAAGTACAACATTTAGCAAAATACATATATTGACAGGACCTCTAGGACTATTTTATTGTTCTAAAACTACTCTAATAGATATATGGGTTTGGCTCCTTCTAGTGTCTTACCAGTCTTGGTGATGTTGAATATATTTACTGGTATGAGCTTGAATAAAATAGAATAGCTGAAACGTACAAGGAAATTTATTTTTTCAGTACTAGTCATGAATTCAAAATTTAGAAACTTTCCTATAATATTCATAGTCCAATCATTACTATATACATTATAATCTACAATAAAGTGGGCTTCATCTTGTACTACTAGTATACTTCATCTTGTGTAGTATACTACAAACTTGACAAATAGTATGCTCTTGAGATGTTCAGATGTGCCTAACTGATTCAGCATGGAGTTCGTCACAGTTCTTATTGGATGTTTCACCAAGGCATCTTGGCATGTATTCAGGTAGCAGAGTAAATTCCGAAGAACTGTACAGCATGGAGAAGCCTACGCTCGCAAGCAACCAGCTGCAGCTACTATTTCAGGCACGTAGACATGTACTAGGCATATATTGACTCTTCTACCCTTTTCATACAGTTGACCTACGCTGACCTGGCGTTCTTCAACGTGATGCACGACATCCTGCAGGTGACCAGCCTGGACAAATACCCCCGTCTGGCGCGGGTAGTGGAGAGCGTCACGGCCCACACGGGGGTGGCTGCCTGGCTCGGCAAGCGTCCTGACACGCCCTCGTAGGGCAAGAAACAAATCCAATGCGATTTCAGAGCAGCAGAACTGAAAATATATATAATTGGTTTATTGTTTCAATTGAAAGCAATACACTAAAATACATTGCAGCGACTTGTACATAGTACAAGTCGCTGAATTATGCATATTAGGCAGTTACAAGAAATGAATAAAACACTTAATAAAATCTATAGAAACTACTATACATAGCAAAATAATTAAAATAATTAGACAATAATCATAATATTACGAATAAGGCAATCTTTGTGATATTGACACATACTGCTTCACATTGTAACAGTGCTAACTGACCATGCTAGATGGTCGTGCGACCTTTTAGTGTAGTGGTTAGCACATTTCAATCAGTATTTCAAGATGAGTCCTTTCTTCTAGGGGAGGTTACCTTAAAAATCAGCCCAGGGCCCTCACAGCAACCGTTTTCTGTCAGAATTTTGGGAATTTCTGCTCCATAAGGGTCACTATACATTGGGATAGTGTGGTTTCAACTCAGTATGTAGATAAGTGACTAAAACATTGACTTTGAAAAATCGGGTTTCCAAGCCCTAAAAACTGCACTGGATGCCTTTAAAGGGGTATAAATGTAACAGTTTGGCACGAAAAGTTGAAATAATCATCATAAATTCAATAAAGCCAGCTTGCCACAGAAAGAAAATCATAAAAATATTATGCTTTCTGAAAACTGTAATTAATTATTCATTCCAGCTTTTACATTTGTGACCATCTAAAACATTGCATGGATAATCTTACACAGAAGAACATTGAAGATTAAAAAATTATTAGGATATTATGACCATTATATTATAACGAGACATTATATAACATTTTTTACATATTAGAAATCTTCGTGCAATTGTAATTTACTTCCACATTTCAACATATTTGTGCAATTATATCACATTACTGACATTTATGGCTGGATAAAACAGCCTACAAGAGGCACACTCAGTTTGTGGTGCCACTATAAACTACCAGAATGTAAACAAACATGACTAACAGCTGTGTTTAAAAATACCAACCCCTTAGTAGTCAGTATAACGCTATCATAGAACACCAACTACAATAATAAAAGAACACTTTGTTGACTGGACTGATGAAGCTTACAAGTCTCTCTCTGTGTTAGTGGACTTTGGTCTGCGACCTATTCCTTAATTACAGTAATAGCACAGGTCAGCCCCAGGTCAGATAGCAGTAGTCCTGGCTAGGCTGTTCGTCTAGTTTATAAATGGGTAACTCATTAATAGTTGCCCACGAGCCCTTGCATGGACTACATATGCAAGAAGGGATAGAAAGGTAAACTATGGCTTGGTTTAAATAGTACAGAAAGGGCTACAGAACTTTGGTGAAGCGGTTTTAAACTTTAGATTTGTGCACAAAATTTCTATATTATTTGGTGTTATATGGATAGTAGCATTGCTACTTCAGAATATATTGGTTTACGTCCTATCGACCCCCCCTGAGAAGTAAGTGGAATGACCCAAATGAAGTTGCTGAGTCATCTTGTTGCCTGCAACCAATCAAAGGTCTCTTCTCTGATCACGCGAATCCACGAAAGCCATCTGAGGTGAACACCTTGTTATCCGGTCTCTCTGTTACACGACTACAACAAGCGCCATGGCCCCTCAGTACAAGCTGACGTACTTCAACCTGCGAGCACGGGGCGAGCTCACCAGGTTCATCTTCGCCGCCGCCGGGGTGCAGTATGACGATAACAGGATCGAATTTTCAGAATGGCCGGCACTCAAAGAAAGTGAGTTTTCCTGGCATACCGTGTCTTATACTATAGCCTGGTTACCAAACCTATTATAGCTCCCGAGTCCTACAGCCTCTCCGCTAATAGAAAGAGAGGAGAGGATGTAGGACTCGGGAGCTATAATAGGTTTGGTAACCAGGCTACGTTACCGCAAATACGAACCATAACAAGCTGCTAGGGGGTCGAAACCCACACCACTTATTACTGACAGGAAAAGGTATCTGTCACCAAAACGTCAAGACCATAGCATGTTCAGAACAAAAGATATGTGTGTCATACTCTCCCTTAAATTTGTATATAATTAGGGCCTTTTTGACTGTTTTGTATGCTAAATAGTGAACGAGAAAACTAATATTCCTTGGAGATTTCAACAATATAAGGGAATAGAACAGTTAGATGACAGGAGAGGCGTCATGGCGATAGTGGGTGTATGTTTGGTGCTTGAAATCCTTTTTTTTTCTGCATACCTGCACTAAGGCAGGTAACATTGAAAATTACCTGCACCACTCAAAATTCAGGGAGTTCAGAAAAAGTTGCCATTATTTCTTTTATACCCCATAGGTTGTAGCAGTCAATGCAGTAAATAAGAATCCCCCTACACCTACATGTATATATGTACGAAGTACATGATCTGGTGCAGGTTAAGTGCAGGTACATCAGAAATACAGCTTCAGTAACATTCCGCACATGGGCTCGAGGGTTATTGAATATTTGATATTATCAACTTATATTTTGACAATCATATTCTGTATTGTAAGATGATAATATGGTAACAACCACTACCCGGATCGTTCTACCAGACACATGTGAATTCGTTTGTTACTATGCCAAGGGTCGCAGTGTCTATTACTGGCTATATATTAACTACCAAGCAGGACATTTCCTTCCACAAAAATGTTAATGTGTAACTTACGTTAGATAGCAGCCGCGTAACAAGGGTGTTGGCCAACATTTCATTTTTGGCGACACCTCAGTAGCGAGCCTAAGAATATAGTACATACCTGTAAGACGGACATGATGACTTCAACAGGTCTTACAAATACCGGTACCCAACAATACCAATCACAACAACATTGGGTTGCTCAGAGTTTTTTTTTACATAATAGGCCATGTTGATTTGATTATATGGATGACATCCACGCGCGCATGAATTTTCGGCCGTTTCCAAAAAAAAAGAAGTTTTCAACCATACTGTAAATCGTGCAAAACAGTTGCTAAATGAGCAAAAATATCATAAGTTGCAAGGAAAACATTAAGAAACGATACCAATGTCGTAGAATGCCAAAATCAAATGAAAAAAGACAAAAATGTAAAGAAATGAATTCGACGAGTAGATTATTCGTCATAACATATTCTGTGCCACTTGTTCAACCTTCATGACCACATAGATTTCATAGTGAAAGCAACTTTTTTTTTTGCAAAACTTTTTTTTTTATTTGCACGCGCGCATCAGTTTTGGGGTTCTCAGAGGATGTCATCCATATAATCAAATCAACATGGCCTAAAGATCACATGCATACAATGAATATTCAATCGTCGCCATGACAAGTTTTTTATTGCCTGCCTTGTTGTTTTCTCGTAGAAACACCGATGGGCCAGATGCCGCTGCTGGAGGCTGACGGGAAGGTGGTGTGTCAGAGCGGGGCGATAGCTCGCTACATGGCCAGGGAAACAGGTAGCCGTTTCTTTTAGTCTTGCCCTCGTACGTACACAAATATACATATGATGCTAAGGCCATAGCAAGTAATTTTTATGAATGACATCAGAGCGCGCATTAATTTTCGCCTGATTTTGGAGAAAAAAACCAAGACGATTTGTTGCCTTCTGACAGGGGTCAACATGGCGAAAATGGGCAAAGGATGTCTGTTGCCATGCCGGAAGGTGGATGGCAGATAAATATGAAGAGAGGAGACAAGAAGAGGCTCTGATTTAATGTTTTGTTTCTTACTTTGATGCAGTGATATGTGATGCTGGTTGTGTATATGTGATGTTCCTACTGAATCAAAACCATTTGTACCATTTGTAAATTGTGGGAACCTTGTTTTCTTCGGCCCGCCTTGTTTTTTTTCGCCCGCTCGCATTAGATTTGGAATTTGCGGAGGATGTCACCCATAATATTTTCGTACTGTGGCCTAACAGTGGCATCATCCTTCCCGCTTTGCAGCGCCAAAATGATCAGCGATTTCCTAACGTACTGCACCTCTGTTTGCGTCCCGTGTCCCCAGGTCTCGGTGGAAAGTCCAGCTGGGAGGAGGCACAAGTCGACATGTTCGTCTGCGGGGTAGATGACCTCATCACCAAGCTATGTGACGCTCACTTCGCCTCGGATGAGGCTGTGAAGGTACAGCTTCCGAGTCGTCTGTGGCCGAGAATTCGGTCCCCATCGACAGTACCTCCATCTACTACAAACTAGTACAGTCAAGTTAAAATGAACTATGAACGAAGGTCATTCATACATTTGAAAGCCATAGAACGTCTACTTTTCTTTAGAATTGTCTGCATTAAACCTTAAACGACTTACTTGTTATGTCACTGCAGGAAGAGAGAACGAAGGCGCTGGGTCCGTATGTCTCCAAGTTCCTAGACAACTACGAGAAGCTCTGCGGACCTGAGGGCCATCTGGTCGGCACCAGTGTGAGTGATATTTAACTCTGTCGAACTTTTTCTATATACACTGTTGTCAAGTTTACCAAGACTTGTAGTGAAGTAGCCTGGTGTTCAGTCTAGTGGGCGACAATTGATAAACTCTAGTATATGATAAATTATTAATTTTAGAGTACGAAAAATCACTATAGCTAAACTGTTTGCCTTACTTCGTCTTTTGGCATCTTTTACAGATACTAACTAAATAAATGTGCTTAATAATCAGGTATACCTACAGTACATGTACATAAACAATGTTGTATGTACTATGTTATAAGAATCCCTCTGTTCTCTACATATACAGTTGACCTACGCTGACCTTGCCTTCTTTGTGGGGATGCATGACATATGGCAACATCGTGCAGACGCCCTGGAAAAGTACCCCAAGCTGGCTAAGGTGGCGGAAACCGTCAGGGACAACGAGGGAGTCGCTGCGTACATCGCCGAGCGCCCGGAGACGAATATTTGATTTAAAAGTTGACATGCTTTGGATGTGTGCTTTTTCACCTATTGTTGTAACATCCTTCGCTTGGCACACGTCATTGGACGTGTTATTACGGCTCATTCTCTCATTTACGTGGATTACAAATTCTGTTTTCATGGCAATCCTTCTCACCTACCGACTCTGTGAAATTGTTAGGGATGGCTTTATAAAGAGTACCAGATAGGTCTGCGATTGTTTGCAATACATTCATATGGAACCATGTCTAAAATTGAAGTAGACCTCCGTAAGACTAATATGTTTGGTTAAATTATGTCGTAGTATCACTATACATATTTTAACCGGACATGTACAACACGTTTAACGTTTTTGGCCCTGTCCCAAACATTAGTAGGTCCATGGTAGGTCCCAATGAACTCATACAACATACGGAATGTTTTGATTGAGGCATGGGGTGCAGTTCGCCAACATTCCGCATGTCGTCACTTTTGAGCTGTGGAGATTTGGTGATAACGTGTAAATTACCTCATTAACTTTTTTTAACTCTAACTTTAAGTGTCTTACACGAAAATCCTTGAGGGATTGTCAGGGAAGACTTAAGTTGAGCCTTAAGCTACATGGAGTGAAGACAATGTCCACAAATCGACAGCTACTTTTTGGTCGTAAATCTGGCGATCAAATTTAAATATATATGTGAGGTGAGTGACCGAGTAGCCCCCCTCCCCATGTACATGAGCGTCGACACGTATCCATTAGACTCCTGTTATTGGAAACCCAGTTGCACTTGACGACCGGGATCACGTGGTCCTCTCCGTAAGGGCAAAACGCTGGGTGGGTGCACATAAAATAGTCTATGCATAACATACATTCTCACACGAACAACATTTGCCTTCGCACTGGGTTGGGTCTGGAACAAGTCGGCTGACGCTGAGACAGGAAAGACTCCAGGTTTCTGAGCAGAAAACAGGTGAGAAAGTACCACAGATGTCTTGTATATCCCCTAAAGATACTTCAGTACTCATAGTACATCTTTGTCTCGAGATAGCTTCTTCTAACTGTTATTTTTTCAAATATAAAGGGCGGAGCCGTTGAGATCTAGAAATCCTCAATATGAAATTGAAAATATCTTGAAAATCCGATAAGACAAGGCAGGCTGCAAGGCTAGTAAGATTCTAGCAAGTTTATACTTTTGAAATCTATCTAAACCCTTTTCGTGAGCGATTACTAGTAACGTCTGCGAAAATTACTGAGGGTAGACGAAGATTGAATGTTTTTTCTGCCCCGGGGTATATGTGTCATTCTGACTGTCAAATGAGAAATACTATCACGCACCTAGCCTATGTCTGTGTCTGCTATAAATTCCCCCCAGCAAAAAAAAAATACCATAAAAGCCCTGGAACACGTTAGGGTCGTATATATTATGTCTGGCCTAGATGTTTATGTTCACTGATTCCGAAAAAAATACAACTCGACAAAAACACACAGTCGATTCATCCATAGGTTATTGCACCATGCAGACGCCAGAAAGTTTTGCATCGCAAGGGTGTTGTTAGCACATTCAAGGCTAAGTCTAGATCGTGTGTAATTTTTAATCTCCAAGCAGATCCTAGTAGTGTGGCAAAAAGACAGTATGGAATTGGCTAGGCAGTAGGCAGTATCCATTGGCCAGAGAGGGTCCATGCGCGACCCAAGGTGGCGGGGGTAGCCACAAAAAAAAAAAAACAACAACAAACGAAAAAAAATGGCCACATATAAAAAGGTAACGATCTTCCCCCATCAACGTCAGCTTGGAGAGTATGTAATTTTGTCTTTTTTGCACTGATAGACGAGGCCTTAAGTAATTGTAGAGGCATCCGAAGTGCGCGACTTTGCCCACCCAACCGACGTCTCCCACGTAAGCGTCTAGCTTACATATTGGGACAAGATCAACCTGAGTTTATATAGCCCATGTCCTCATCACTGGGTCATGACTACTCTCCAAGCAGAGGTTTATGGCGTGTTTTTGGCGTGTTTCTAAGTGTTTTTTCGGGCTGCATTTTTTTGTACTGCCAGCCTTCGGGTCACAAATGGTAACTGCCTGGTAAATGGACATTGCCTGGCCAATTTGATACTGTCTTGATTTGCAGCCACCAAAAGATCTGCTTGGAGATTAGGACATGACGCTGTGCAGCCCGTGTGGGCACTTTCCGTAAACTCCAATTGACAAACTTGAACGTGGGTTCAAAACAGTAAATTTTAGCCAAATAGGAGTCAGCCGGCTATTATGCTGAATTCAAGAAAACGGGGACGCAAAATTTCGTCAGCTTGACGGATGTATTTAGCCTCTACCAGGCTTCAGAAGTGGCTAGAAAGAGTAGAAATTGGTGTGACAGATAGCATGCCAGGAGAGTTGAAGAAGCCAAAGAAGTAGTATGCTCTGTTCGCTGTACTCCGATGTTCAGCGGTCTAGTAACTCCCCTGGCACGATATCTCTCTATTTGGCCGTTTTGTACTCTTTCCAGACGCATTTGAAGCCTGGAAGAGGCTACGCCGAATTTCGAGAATGATCTTGCTTGCGCCCTACTGCAACAGGCCACCCAACCACCATCAACAGCAGTAGTCATTATCTAGCCCTGTACATCAGACATATTACCACGCCCTTGCTTGTCATTTCCACACACACACTACCCATTTACAGGACCGATACTATGTCTGCCTGTCCTTGGCAAAGGGCAAAGACATCAGCCGACTAAAAGGGGGACTAACCGCGGTTTATTTTGATTGGGTGGTGCCCTTTGGACCGCCTCTGCCCTACGGGTTTGACGTTAACACCAACAGGACGAAATTCGAGGACACTCAGCTCTTTTGCTGAAAGCCTGGTAGTGTTCGTAGACTTCGTGCAATTACATGGTTACTACTGCACAGCTGCAGCACCAGTTTTTGTCAGAAATTGGCATCCCTTGACAAAGACTGGGTGCTGAGTAGTGACTGTCGAAACCTTGACTAAGTCTACATTTTGCAATTTCTTGTGTCACAACTTTACAGCAAATGATCAGTCAACAGTTAGTGTGTTAACGATAATCTAGATATTGCTAATGTAAGCTAGCGTGTGTATGATACAGTCTCATGTTACAATGTCATGAACTTGACCCAGTTTTAAAACATTTTTCTCAGATCAAATATCTCTGGCCTGGGTGCCAGACTGTTGCCAAGGCCAGAATAAATATAGTAATTTTTACTGAGCTCCATGCAGTTAGAGCCTCAATGATGATGAGTGAGGGTCTAACATAGCCTCTACCAGGCTTCGGGAAGCTGGAAAGAGTATAAATTGGCCAAGTAGACAGAAGATATATGTTAGGGGATTTGATAAGCACTGAGAGAACAGTTTGCCGCTTTCTACTTTTCCAGCCGCTTTCCGAAGCCTGGTAGAGGCTAGGTCTAACTGGGGAGCGGCGGTGGTCTGTATACTGGTCCTGACAACAGTCTCGTATCCTGGTAGTTTAAATTTAAACGGCTTGAGCACGTCACAGTCTGCCAATGTCTGAAAAGATGCTCAACTTCCAGACCTTAAAGAACGTTTGTGTGTTAGAAAAACGGGCTAGCAAGTAAATGTATCGTTCAATGCTACCCTTGGTTTTCTTTCTCGTCCATGATAGTTTCAGATCCAACATAAAGGCATCAATTGGCGTCGGAAACAGCCGGCTATCCAACATCGACATTTTCATACAAGCATCTATGCTAATTTGTGGAGCCAGAGAAGCAACCGCGCCCGATATGCACCCACTGCCCTAAACCGGAGCGTCCCTAGCAAATATAGCATGTACACAGAGTAGCGGTAGTGTACAGTGTAATGAAAAATAAATGTAATCAGTGGACCAGTCGTGAAACATTGAACACGTTCAGAGTGCGAGTTAACGAGGGACGAAGTGGAAGAATCAAGGTAACTGCCAATACGTGAATTAGTCTGCAAATGGTACGTTTTGTTGTTGTGATCTGCTGGAGAATTCGAAAAGGTCAAACATTGCCTGGGTAAAATGCCCTTTATGCCCAGCCAAAACATTAATGTAATATGGGATATTTTTACACGTTTGTTACGTGCAACTAATCTCCAAGCAGATCTTTCGGTGGGGGTGTAAGACAGTATCAAATTAGCCTGCCACTTGTCCCTGTCTGGCAAATGGATACAGGCTGGCCAATTTGATACTGTCTTCCCCCCACTGAAATATCTGCTTGGAGATTAGTTGCAACTTGCACGTAACAAACGTGTAAAAATATCGACTCAACGACTCTTCGCCACTGTTTTGTGACATGCCTGTCTGCTAAAGTCTTTATATTGTATAGCTTTGAATTATGAAAAACTTAAACTTTTTTCCAACTCAAAATTTGACTCACCAGAAATTTTCGACTGAATCACTCAGTCTTCCTCAGCTATCTGACCCAAATGCTGTGGACACGTGATTTTTCCCACGTGTGACGTCAGCAAAGGGTCAAAGTTGGAGTTGGAGAAAAGTTTAAGTTTTTCATAACGTAATTTACCAACTCAGATGAACTTTCATGCTGATGTATAGCTTTGAATTTACGCGTAAGTAGAGATTGCACTAGATGTAGCTAGCCTGTAGTCTTATATATAAGACTCTTTACCTTATTGACTCTACACATTGTGTCTCGTATATTGTATAGCTTAGAACCAAGGGATCAGTTATAATATGTTTTCTACGATGCCAATTTTCCAAGTTCCAGCGGCCATATTTAATCTCGTCGTACGCGAGAGCGAGACTGCGCGAGACTTGTCGAAAACGAGGCTGTTTCTAAGGTTTTTTTTGCAGACGTCCTGGAAGGATAGTCTCCACCAGACTTCATTTTCAGGCTGAATAAATCGTAGAAATCGGCCTAAAATGGGTATTAATTGGCCAGAGAAGGTAGCCGGCCAGAGAAGCTCCATTTGCCTGCCTCTTGGAGGCTACTCGAAGGGACCCGGAGCCGTGGGTGCCAAGAAAAACAAGGACAGAACCACAGAAATGTTGGCCACACAGCAATGTAGGCCATGGCCGATGCGGGCATTGCCTTGTCCTAGCCACGCCCATACCAGAGTATCATCTCCTTTTGGCAATGTAGTAGCGAAACAGCTGACTATAAACTCTGCACGTCGAATCGTTGGGCCTCGTTTCTTTTTCAACGCTATATGGCAATTTTATATCAAAGAAATCTAAGGAAACATAAAAATATGATGGCTACATCAAAAATAGAGGACCGAAAGCGTGAAGGCATTTTGACTGTTTTAGGTCGGATTCCAGCGATGTCCACACGCCAATGTGTTGCCCTGATAAAAATACAAAATTAGGGTTATCAGTGGGGCAGTCCGTCAAGCTGATTCCCTTTGGCCATCTCACCACGAACACATTAAGTTTCATTCCACTCCTAAACACTCCCTCCTCACCGCCACACCATTGCTAGTAGTCTTTCAGAAAAGTCTAGTATAGATATGTTTTTTTTCTTCTTCAGAATTCCCGGAACATCATCCTCACAACAGACGTTGTTTCGCATAAACATTAAACCACATTTAGGAGTACAAGCTGTGTACAGTAAGGTTTGAACCACTCACACAGGAAAGGGACCCCAACTCTTTTCGACAAGTGGGGTGGTCGAGGTCTCTGTATCTGTATCTGTATCAGTATAGCCGGTATAACCGCCCTTCGGGGTAACACACCAGCTTCGCAGGCACGCGGCGCGGCGGCAGCTAGCTATATCACACCGAACGACTTGTTACACTCAATCTTTGCACATTTGATTGCAGGAGTTGTTTAAAGCTTTCTAGTGATGATGCCCCAACTGTGCTTGGTGGCAACGAGTTACAGTCTACGATAGTTCTGGGGAAACACGAGTTTTTGAACACCTCAATTCTTGGTTGATAACTCTGATATTTGAAGGCATGACAGTTTCTTGTTCTTTTCTGGGCTGGTATCAGATACTTAGAGGTGTGACTCTCTTCAAACACGGGACCTCCGACATTACGTCCCATCTGAGGGACTGCAGTGAAACAGGGGTTACTGTCGTTCAAACCTGGAACTGGAACAAATATATCTGCCTTCTGCCATATTCGGTAGCATATGAGGCTGTCGCCAGAAAGTCGGACCGATAGGAACGGACACGTCGCCCTTACATAGTAAACACGGCCGTTTGGATATGGCAGTGCGAGATCTTTAACTTAAAGTGAACATAAATTAAAGCTGAACTTTTGCTCCGAGTCTGTCTGGTAGGAATCCCTACTTCATCCACCATTTAAAACGTTACACACACTTTTATTTCGATTGTATATAGTCCTTCGTGTGTAGTCTCTACCTCCATGATTTGAAAAGAGCTGACTGAAATAATAATATTTTATTTATCATCTTATTCATCAACAGTCGTTTTATGTCAATGCCATTTGAGACCACACTTCTACTCCCCTTTGAATCTCTGACGGTCGAGCACTACTAACATCCACCAGGTAAACTCATCTGCATTTTCGTGACAGCACAAATGCGCCTGTAAACAACAACAGTTAGCCGTTTAAAGCCTGGTCCCCTTGACCTAGAACTGTGCCAGTTAGCCAAGGTCAGGATTGTTTGCTGACGTGGGGACACCCGAGCCTCAGCGCGGCCCAGCGGGTTCTATATATGTCTGAAGAATCTGAAGCTGTATGTCACTGGCCTTCCAGTTTATTCTCCAGGCTTCCTAACGCAAAGTATATCCCCAAAAGCGGACTTTCAAGACTCATAACTTCCCATAGATGTAGAATATCACAACTATTATTTTGTGAATCCTGTGGCATAATTTCCAATAAACAGATTTAACCGAAAACTAGAAAGGTAACATTTGCAAAGCAATTGCATAATATTTACCTTCGCATATGGTCTGCTCTGTTAATTCTTTTCATATTTATGGTCAGACAGGAATCTAAATCCCTCCCACTATAAAACTGCAACATTATGTAACCCAACACCAGTTGCCATGGTGAGAGACGTCAACAAATCAGGTCATTGGCCAGGTCAGAGGTCAGTAGAAGAAGAGGAAACGTAGCAAAAACAACATGTTTTCCTTCGGTAAACATAATAATGTTATATGCTGTATGCAGCACCAGTTGACCGTTATTCTAAAAACAACATGTCAAGTCAAAACAATACGTCTCAATGATACAGGTCAATAACACATTTTAGAAGGAAAATGAAACAAACACTTAAAACAGAGATGTTTGATAATCAACCTGTACTGTTGTTATATTTTCAGATAGAACTTTGCTACGGAAAGACCTCGTGGTTTGGAAACTGTGTGTACCCAAGACTGAAGGTATGTTTGCCTGGGCATCAGGTTTTTGGCGACGCCTCAGTGGCAAAGGCCTTGCCCAAGTCGCACAAATTTCCTAGGGAGTTTTTTTTTTTAATTTACAACTCAACTTGGACAATACAAGACATGGTGGTGAGGTACTCTAGCCATAGCTTATTTTAAACTCACCACCAAACATACAAGTATACAATAATAAAGTGCATGACAAAAACAACAGAGAACAGCAAATGGGTGGAAATGGATCAATAAATGGTAAGTAAGAACATGTTTTGTAGGCTATGTGGGACTTAATCTAATACAAACCGTTTAGTATCAATACCGTTAGTTTTGGGTGATTGTCAAAATGTTACAGTTTTGTTACAAAATGGTACAGAGTTGTTTTGAGGAAGCCTTTGGACGGGACAGGAAAATGCATTTGTTGCTTTGTATGTGAACGTCCTCGGTCAATGTCACCATTTTGGGCCGATTGCTGATTTGGGCACAGAAAATGACTGTCCTTATTAACGTTTTAAATGTGTTTTATGGTCATCACATATATATGTGTAGCATCACGTATATATGTGTAGAATCACATATATATGTGTAGCATCACATATATATGTGTGTAGCATCACATATATATGTGTAGCATTTCCACATATTGTTTTGCAGGACTCCCCTAGTACCTGAGCTGTAACCTAAACCCGTGTCCAGGGCACCAAAGGTATGGTCATTCTTTAAATCTAGATTCGTGTTATATCATGCATTACTCTGGTAAAGATCACTTTTTACCTTGACTGTCTCACTAGGTATATATAGCACCGCTCTGCCGCCCTGTACATTGATATCACCTGTAGTACACCAGAACAGATAAAAACTGAGCGGACGGTTGTGTTTTGTGCAGCGCATTGGAAACCACATAATTCATGATTTTCACACTTCCCATAATGCCTAGTAAAAATCACGGATATGACGTATGACCACCCTTCCCCCTTCCTTGATGTAATATTTCTAACAAGTTCTATCGACAAACTGGTCAACTATATTGTTTTGAATTATTTATTTAGCATAAAGCGCATGCCATAATTGCATTTTTTGTTGGAATTAGAGAAAATGACGTACCTTCTATAGAAGACTCTCCTACCTGCACGGTCGCATTGCGTATATCCGCTTCAACGTCATATCCGTGATCTTTACTGGGCATTATGGGAAATGTGAAAGTCATGAATGGGCACAGCAATCACTTGTTGAGCATCACCACCATTTTCTGTCAGAATGAACACCCGACAAATCACATGTTGACATCGACGACAGCGACATATGGAAGCATAGCACAAAATACATTTTATACACACTCCTCAAATCATGCGTTCTTTCACTCGCGTGTGCACTTTTTAAAGTGCTTAAAATGCATCCAATGAAATTAATTTCAGGGTTACAAAACAAACACATTCTGGACACAATCTGTCTGCTATTGACATGTACTTCTATTTCTTAGCACCTTTTCGTCATAATTTTATACTTGAAGTGTTTGAAACAGCCACAAAACAATTAAGCTAAGTGAGGTGTCTGTTTTTTGGGTACCACCCATAAATAGCTAGAACCAGCCTACGATACAAAACACGCAACCGATTTTTTCAGAGACATATAGTTTTTGTCTCACAGATATCTGTATGCTATGGGATAATATTGATTCGATTGATTGAAGAAAGACCAGAAAATTGACTTAAAAAATTCCGGCCTGAAATTGCATTGGATGCCTTTAAGGGTAGAATTTCGTGCAGTGAGGGCATGCACATCTTTCACATCTTTCGAAGGCCAACCATCACGTGTAGTGCTGTTAGTAAAATTTTCTGATCGCGCATCGAATGGACGACACTACGACTGATGACGTATGTACATAGCCCTAATGACGTCAGCATCTCGGACGACCAATCAAGGAAGACAGCTAGAAATAACGACCTCTGACCTCCTGAAGACGATGGCCAATGGCTAGCAAGGACGTATCTCGTCGACGACAAGCATTTTTGCCTGGGGCTTTCGTCTGTCACTTTGCACTCTTCGCCGTTCGGTGATCTGCACACTTAGTCTAGTTCTTCCATTCCGCCACGCACAGTTGATCAGCAGTCACCACTTGCGATGAAACTGCAGCGCACCTCTCACTCAATCAACGAAGGTCCTGAAGTTCACGCTTATATATATAACTTTTATAAGGAACGTGCAGCACGATTTTCAGTGTGATTCTAAAATAGCCTGGAGTCCAGCCTTGTTAGCGTTGGTCCGCTCCCCGAGATCCGCTACCCAGCCAACGGAGTGGACCAAAGCTAACAAGGCTGGACTCCAGGCTAATATTAAACCGTTTTACACAGTTTTCTTGTGAAAAACCTGAACATTCGTTGTAGCCTTTACCTTGAAATTTCCTTCTTGTGTTTCGGCATTGATGCTTTATATCTGTTTACAATTTATCTCGGTCTTGCAAAGAAGCGTGTCGGTGTGCCTGGTTTCGGCCTGGATCGTAAGTTCTGAAGCCTGTACGTACTTTGGACGGTCGTTCACACCGAGAGTGCGACACAACAGCGCCCAGAAAGAAAACGGCCACGCAACAGGACAATAAACTGTTCATACTACCCAGGAACACCAAACAGAGCCGAGCAGTCATGGACATGGAGCCAGAGACGGTCCGGCAGTTACAGCTCCTGGTCATCAACTTTCTGATCATCGCCCTCCTGTGTTTTGTCTGCTATGTCTTCTTCGAGACATTTTTCTTCTAGTACAGTCAAGTAGGAGGGGGCGTATCTTTACAGTTCACTAATCTCCAAGCAGATCTCTGGGCATGGGGGGCAGGACATTGTCCAACAAGCCGGACAGTGAATGTACTGGGGTCGTGTGGCATAACGGCATGCCACCGACATGCCACCGATCTTGTGCTCTTGAGGAAGGCGCTTTACATGACTTTCTTCACTTCACTCCACTCAAGTGAAAATGAGTACTGTCATGTCCTGTATTTGACTCCTTTGCGTTGGCGGCGGCATAAAAGAAGTTGATATAACTTGAGTGTGCCGTCACCATGTCTAGTCATGAAATGTTGGAATATAAAAAAAACACAGCCGCACAGTATCCAGTTGGCCTCCCGTTTTGTGCAAAATCTGCTTGGAGATTAGTGATGATGTCCATTGTTGTAATGATGCATACTGTGTGGATATGAATTTTTCTTCACTGAATTGAAACGTCACTTTTTTTCGCACTGATTGAATAGAGAACACAGATCCGTGAATAATTCCAACAGGTTGGCAGGATATTAAGAAGTTTTTTCTTATTTAACAACCGGTAAACCACGTGGGTTTTCACATCCAACGTTTCGATGACTTGTTATCTATTACTGTGCTTGCCAATATGTATATATGTTTAGAGGAATGTTTGGTCCAACTAAAAAAGTTCTCTCACCTAGAGCTTTCGACCAGTCACTCTGGTGTTGGACCAAAAGTTTTAACTCTAAACATGTAACTACCAACGCAGATGAATGATAATATGTATATATTATGTGACAACACTCTATGTTTGGGTCGGCCTCGGTAATATTGGAGAAAAAATTCGAAGCGACGTCTAGCTGCAGTACGAATCAGAACACGGCCATTGGTGCCCTGAAGAAGGTGACAGACGGTCACCGAAACGTTGGATGAAAAAACTTCTGGTTGTTAAATAAAGAGTCTTTTTATATAGAGACCACAAATGTATTTAATGATTTGCTATTAATTGTATCATAAAATTGCTTGTTGGATTGTCTTTGGGAATGCCTTTTTGAGTAGATTGCACGGATTAAATGAACACATGCTGTAAAGATGAATAAAATGAAATACGAATGTTCTGAAAATTATTTCTTTCTTGTCTGTGTACTTTCACTACACTATGACACAAGTGCATACAATTATACATTACACATGTCGAAACCAACATAATAAACATCTTCCAATGATTCGTATATGCATGGAGTCCAATGGCAAAGGAAAATTGATTAATCTTAGAACATTTCTTACCACATCGTCGAAGGCTTATATCCACCTGATGAGAATGAATCATCTGGGAATTTTTGGTAAATTCAGTTGCTGTAGTATAATTCTTGATAAGGGTAATAACGCATGGTTTCCAATTTCTAATAAAAAGTATCCCTTCAAACGAACACAACATGTGGATTCCAAATATGGTAATGGCTGTTCCATACAGGAGCTGTAGCTACAGACAACTGGAACTGACGTCACAGAGAGGCATTGCTCCTATCTAGAGGTAGGTAAAGACCTGGTCTACGTTATTACGTCAAGTCGGATGCAATCAAGCATGTTACGTCCTATAGTAGTATTTCCTTTTCGTAGTGGCAATTATTCTGCATTTTTCTTACATACGTCCTTACGTATGTGATAGCCTCCTGTGCAGACCTTCTAATATGGCCACGCAATACGTCAATCTTTCTATCGACTAGAAAACAGTGCAAACACAAAGTCACAGATTTCAGACTTCTAGATCAGTTGGAATTGTAGTGGGTATCCGTGAATGTTTTGTAATACTGTTTTATAAGGTGGTAATACCCGATTGAATTACATCACACAATGGATTACTACTCAGATGTCTGTATGACACAGCGTCCTACTCCTACCACTACTACACCATTGGTCAAATGACCCCCAAAAGCATACCGAGTTCATCACCCTATCAGTCCAGTGAAACTCAATCTAAAAAGACTCGACACAAACACACAAACGATTAACTAACGCAACCGAAACAGTACTTCCATTCCAGAACTATTTCTTGCAATATATAAGCCAACAGAAAACCAGGAGCCACAAACACAAAAACTATCAACTAACGCGACCGAAAACAATACTTCCGTTCCAGAACTATTCCTTGCAATACGTAAGCCACAGAAAACTACGAGCCAACCAAATAGTATACACAGGAGGCTACATATCTATGTATGTATACAGAAATTTAACTATATCCAGCCGTATTCCAACATGTGTTAGATTGTATTGCTATTGATTTGTTCAGATGTTTGTGACAATGTAGCGCCCAATGTTTATGTTTACTGCACAACAACACTTTGGCTTGACGGCTACAACCACATGCTGTTCACAGCGGTATGCCCTAACAACATCGGGCTTTGCCATCATTTCTTACGGAAGAGTGAGGATAATTTCAAAATTCCTTTACTGCTATTTCTATCTATTTAGTCTAGCTGATTCTATATGTTGGGTAGTCGATCATGCTTTATTTCTAATAATTAATCATATAATTGATATTTTCGTTAATTAGAGGGGCCACTTTTTGGTGTAGAAATATATAATCATCTATTGAATACGTCGATGAAGGTTAGGCAACCAGCTAATACGATACGCCAAAAAGCAGTTACTCAAGCAACTAGATATGATTTTGCAATTGGTTGCTTGAGTAACTGCTTTTTGGCGCATCTATTGAATAATCTATAAGATAATAAAAGTAGTCTGAAGTACAGTTGTGTCCAGCTAGGAGTCTCGATAGGTACTTATAAGACATAATGATCCCTTTATTTGGAAAGCCTTACATACGAATCAGGACTTTTCATATTGATGCATCAATTTTATATTTTAAAAAAGAAAACAAATTGTTTGAAAATTTAATCTTATAGTTTTATATTATATACTAAAAGATTTAATCTTATAGTTTTATATTATATACCTTTTCAGCTTTTTTTAGCAATTTGAAATTGATACTTAATTCTAATATCATAATATTATATTTATTAGATGATGATGATATAATATTCATATACTAGTAGTTGCAGTTGATAGCTACTTAGCTCTTTCGGCCCTCGTTAAGCTTTTATACAGTTCATGTATACGCTGCCACACAGCCTCATGAAGCTTTGTAGTCGCTATGGTCATTTTGATTTCATCTGCCTCAACATTTTCGCGCTTTTACGAATCACGCTCTCTTATAAACTTCTATACACACATTCTCCCAGGCTTCATTTACATAATATACAGCCTCAAAGTTTTCGCGCTTTCAAAAAATCGCGCGATTTTTTTGCTGGGGTTTCCGAAGCTTGTAGCTAGCTATGGTTCGGTCACATCCGTCGTAGGTTGTCGTATGATTTTCATACCGCAAAATTTTCAACCAGACTGTGGTTGACAGACTCAATCACCGACAAGGTTCCGAGATAGCGTTTTCCGTACTGGGTACAGACCACCATTTCAAAAATCGCCTACTTGAGTGTTCAACTACTGCAAACCCACATTGACAGGGTAGTTCAACCTCCAAATTGTCCAAAGATTTTAAAAAAGGCAAAAAATGTCATTCTTTAATCAGCGAAAATAAGTACGATAGATGGAAACACTGAGAGCATGACCTCTGACCCCCCTGTACACCACCAAAACACAACAACATGGCATTACTTTTACAGCTCTACCAGGCAGCCAAAACAAGACCAAAGGTCTTGTCTTTTTTTCAACAAAATAAAAAAGCGAAATAACTCTCTAGCTGGAAAATGCCAGCATTTATCCACACATACCAAGAAAAAGGCTGTTTTCATTTGGTTTAGATGCTTTCACCAATGGGTACTATAGTAGCTAGAAAATGCCAGCATTTATCCACACGTACCAAGAAAAGGGCTGTTTTCAGTTGGTTTAGATGCTTTCACCAATGGGTACTCAAAATGGGCCTTCTTCGCCTGCTCGTAAAACCTTTACCCCGTAGCAAGACAGCTAAGTATTGTCTATCACAAGAATGCCAATTGTACGACTATCGCACGACCTCATGTGACCGGGCCTTCACATGTAGCTCAGCCTACCAGTTCGCTATATATATATATATAGCCGAGACGGCTTCACGCGCAAGAGCCTCACGGTCATAGCACATCACCGCAACAATCTGACCAGGACACCCGACTGACTGCCGATCGCTTGTCGTATGTTCAGTGGCTTGAGGTGGGACATTCAAGAGCATAACACTGTCTTTACACGAAAAAAAATCCAAAATTTTGAATTTGAAAAGTCACTCTTTACTTCCCATTTCAAGCCGGGACTCTTCTCTTTTCTCGTGAACATGTTTCGCACATGTTATGTTCTCATCTTTGTGTGTGATGGTATTATCAAGTACGCTGGTTGAGAGCAGGCGTCGTGCAAGAGACAAGACCTTCTCAGCCGAAGGCAGCAAGACTTAAGGCGAATATTAAGAATATTAAGTAGTATCTGAGACATGGAGTTGGACAAACAGACCGTCCAACAGGTCCAGCTCCTTGTGATCAACTTCTTGATCATCGCCATCTTGTGTTTTGTATTCTACGTGTTCTTGGAGACGTTCTTCTTCTAGTATCCGTTGTCCTGCTCAAAGCAACATGTCTTAAGTTAGTAGCCATGAGCATAGACCTTGCATTGTGTAAGAAACTGACTGTATGTCGTGTGTTATACATGTGAAAAGATGTAATACAAAAGAATACCCATTGCAGGCCCATAGTGTAATGGACAGCTTCAGTACATTGCAGTGTAAGCATGCGATTATAAAAGAATGAAGTTATGTTTGAGCACCTACGCCTTGCCAAACATAGTCAAAAGAAGACTGGGCTTAGTTAGATAGATGACTCCATGTCTAAGGCATTCCCATGGATATGCCCGAAAGAGTAGCTTTAGCAGAGAATGTTTTAGTTAGAAGAAGGACGGAGATATCCCTCACGGCAAAGATGGCCCTCCAACTAGAACATGGATCCATAGCAAGATACCCAGAAGGTTTAGAACGAGACGATAAATTCTTGTGGCGCTTACATGATCCTTGGATACTAGATTTAGACAAGACAACATTGTTTATGTAGAAATGCACACAATAACTGATTCAGAAGCAAACTCTTTCAACAATGGTGCTCAAGAGTCGGATATTCTTTGACACATTTCCATCAGAGTTGTAATTAAAGCTCTTTGTTTGTTGGTTTCCGTCTGTTTTCTTGTCGTTGCCGTTGCCATGCCCTACTAACCTAGCCAACAGTCTGCCCAGGGCAACAGACAAAGATTCCTTGGCATTGTAAGCTCCTATGTTCGACTGGCCAACTGAGCCAACCACGATGAATTATACTGAGTTGCCTTCCTGAATTCGTCTACTACATCTACAAAGGCTAATGTATACAAGTATGTAGAGGTTCAACGTCTCGCTTCTTAAGTTTTTTTTATTGAAACATTGAAACATACAGTGACAAGACGTGGTCGCGACACACTCAAGTGACACTTATATTCATGTCGCCACCAGACAATACGTAATACAAGCAAGCAACGCACGAGTTTCATATAGAAGTTGAATACATAATTAATCAATGAACAAGTGAAACAAATATATAAATTCTGGCAGGATTGGTCAAGATATTACAAAAAACGATTACAACTAAAGATAGTTGTAAGCGTAGTGATAAAGCTTATATTTTATGGCTTAATACTTAGTAATACATGCATGAGATATATGAAATATTCTTTGCTATCTAAATATAAGAAAATGTAGCTTGTGTACAATTGATGGGGATATTTCTCTCGTGGTTATATATGTACAGCCCTAGTTGTTAAAGGGCCTTTCAAGGGAGCTGAGGCAAAATTTCCTCGGGGTACACTAGACTTTGTGCCGTAGAGATGGCCAGTGTGGGCCCTGGCAACTGTGGATTCCACGTTAATGTCCTGATTACACCATCAAGCCATCATCTATCCAAACACATGATACATGGTAGGTGACTGTCTAAATCGGAAAGAAATATCAAATAACTTGAAAGTGATATTGCAATAATGGTGTATGTCAAGAGTGTAATGTTATAAACAGAAACAATCACAGGAAATGAATTAAAAATGATGATAGAAAAAAGCTTTAAACTTATCCAGAAAAAACTCAAATTTATATTGCTTGAACTTTCAAAACCACCACGGGAAGTTCATTGTAGATACAATTCTAAGTCAGAATTGAGAGCACTAGCATTGTGTTTTCCCAATGACAGTAAATGCCAGTTAAGTCTGATAATGGTTGCTTTCGGCGTTAAACCGCACCAGTGTAGATTTCCTGTGTATCAACCGGTATTGTTACATTTAACTTTTTGTGGAGTGAGCCCTGTATATCTTTTTTTCAAAACTTTATTGATAACCAAGTGACAAAATATTTACAAAATATACACATACACATGAAATGAAACATGCAATAAACAGAAATTATATTTCTTGCCTATAGAACATCACTCTTTTGTGAACACCAGATTTTTTAACTTACTTCATAGACTTCAAGTGAAACGTAGGATTTTCATTCTGCCAATACCCACTTCTGCCATTACTTCTAGTTCCAAACAACTTTAATTTGGTATTACATTGGTTTTCAACCATTTACATAACAAGAAAATAGCTCTAGGCACAGGTCTGAAGTTGTGTAAAAATGATGATATATCAGTCGTTAATATGACATTAACTGGCTTCATATATTAAGCACTACAGAGCATCATATCCATAAATTAGGACTAAATGATAACAACGTCAAGGTTGTAGTACAAGTATGCTTACTTTTACAGTACCTTAAAACAGTAATACTTTCTACAGTAGCCCTGCATACCTTACTCCAAGTCTAATTTCATCTAAATTTATTACATGATTATATCCTGGGTAAGTCTGACAGGTACGTCTGGGAATGGATACATAAACAACAGTGATACATGTCAGACAGGTCTGATAATAGTTGCCTAAACCCGATCAAATTACAAAAGCAACCATTAGTAGCCTTGCAGGCATCTATCGCCATTGGCTTCTTTTGAAACACTCATATCTTTTACATGAGGTTGAATTTAATTATGAACTTAGTCTATTTTGTTGGGCATCAATAAACTATAGTCATTATCCCTTCAAAAGAGATAAAAAAATCTGGTAAACGATGAGGTCTCAGAAACTTGTAAGCTGTCAACTGACTCCCCACTGGGAGGTAGGGAAGAACCACTGGCAGTGGACAATACCATATGTACGGTGTAGTCCGGTTGCCAAACCCCCGATTTTTGAAGAACCTTGCAATGCGGTCCATACAAAGTTTTTTTGTTGTTTCTATATCTCTGAGGTGTGCTCTTTCAGAATCTGAATGATGCCACTCTGTCATCCTTGGGCAATTCGCACAATATGCAAATTAAGGTGGCCATTACTGAAAATCTGTTTTCCGTCAATATCTCAGTAACTACTCATGGTATCAGAATAATTTTGGTGTCTATCCCCATGTTTTGAGGGATAACGAATTAAATTAAGCCATTTCAGTAAAGAGAGAACCATTATTTTTTGCTACATATGCAAATTTGGGCCTTGTCTGTTATTGACGCACCTGGCTGCCAGCAAGGAGGGGTCCTAATTCCGACCCATGTTCCATGCAAACGCACATGCCTTGGTATAGTTTATCTGACCCAAAACCTGTTCAATATTGAAAGACAAGTTTACCTAAGTCTAGATGGCAGACGTCTTCTTGCATGAAACGCCGCTTGCGTATGATTGTAGACACTGGCTGTTGGTTAGCTCTGGCTCATATATCTGTGTTGGGTATGAAGTCCTGTCGTCTGATGCTTAAGATCTTCCTCACGCATTCACTATCAGAAGCATGCAGTGATTCCAGTCTCTTTTCTCTTTTCTTGGCTGATTTCCACATAGTAGGTTTCAAAGTCAAGCTGGTTGAAGGCTGCTGAGGCCTTTCCAAGTCTACAGTCTAGCTCATTGTCCATCTGTCCTTTGTTGTTGGTGGAGCTCCCAAGGTAGGTGAAGTTCTCCGCCACTTTCAATTTGTTCTCGTCAATGGTCACACTTCTAAGAGGAGCATGTTAATTGATGGCCCTGATGCTGAGCCCAATGCTGTCTGCAGACGGACTATGTTGGTCACTAGGGGTTGGAGATCTCTGGCGTTTTCCGCTATGTCGTCCGCAAAGTCAAGGTCGGCAAACTTTGTCTCTGGAACCCACTTTACCCCCGGCCCTTTCTCCTGTTGCTTCCCAAGTACCCAGTCGATAGCCACGGGAAAGAGGATCGGTGACAGGACACAACCTTGGAGGATCCGTCTTCAAACCACCAGCTGTATCTAGATTCCTTCAACCGTCCGTACACAACACTTCGAGTTTCAGTATATCTGTTTAACTGCATACATAAGTTTACTTGGCAGTCCATAACTGTACACGATAAAGAGGGACTTTAGATGCTATCAAACGCCTTGCAGAAATAAATGAATCTGATAGCTAAAGGGGTTTGCAGTTCAGCACATTTCCTCCACCGCAGGGTGAAGATCTGCTCAGCACAGGATCTCTTTGAGCGAAAGCTAGCTTGTTGCTCGCAGCTCCCAGAAGACTTTGCCTACTGCATCTCTCATGTGGTTCAGGAGGCATTTGGTATACACCTTCACTTGTATAAAAAAGAATTGTCAGTCCCCTTAAGTTATCACATTCATTCAGGTTTCCCTTCTTTGGAATATACACTTTAAGCCTAATGGTATGTCACAATTCAAGAAAGGGGCCCGCTCGGCTCGTTTTCGGCCTGTGTTTTGGCACTACCGAATTCGGAACGGGACCTGGAAGGCAATGGGCGGGGTTCCCGACGGCTGCCGGCCTATTTTTTTGGTCCCGCGACGTCGCCAAATAGATTTGACTCAACTTAAAGTCACTTCAGGCCCCGGCGGGCAAGGTACGCCGAAGCGACCCCGTAACCTCACCGGACCAAACCGTAACCTAGCCGCCGGGTCACGCACAGGCACCTGTCCAAGATTATGAAGTCACGTGTGTGGTTCTGTGCTTGAATTGTTCAGAAGAAGGTAGTTATAGACAATATAGAGGGTAATGTGCTGTTCTCGACATAGTTACATCATCAGTCAGTCATAGTGACCATACACGGGTCTGCGCATCAACCAGGGGCGAACCCACCATACCAGCCACAGGCGTACCAGCCTGGGACCTGCCAGGATCGCCCCTTGACCCCGCCAGGGACCCTGTAGCTACCCGGCCGGAATGCAAGAGCTAGTCGGCACCCTATTGCATCCCGCACAGGTCTGACAGAAGACTGACTGGGCACCGGACGGGTCCCCAACAGAAACCGGTCGTCAAGGGGACCAAAATTTTGTGAATTTTACATAGAAGCCGCCTCAGCGCCCCGACAGGGAGCCGTAAAGGAAAATTCAATTGTGACCCTGACAGCCGGCGTACGCTCGGCTTCATGACGCCGGCCGGCGTCTACACCGAGAACATGCCGAGCAGGCCCCGTTTCACATGTGACTCCAGCTGAACTACTGATCCGTTCTTCCAGTCCTCCAGCACTTCCCTGTGATCGCCGTTGAATGCCAGCTTTATTCCAGGGAAGGCGTACTAGGGAAGACGGCTATGGTTCTATTAAAGCGTTTGCGATGTACGGCGATCAGAAAAGCATCCATCTCACAACACAGTCACCCTCGGCTTTCAGCATCTCTGAAGTGATGCCATTCATGCCTGGTGACTGACTTCAGCTTCAGAGATGTCCTCGATCTCAACAGGTAATGGGTGTAGGTGTTCATCAAAGACTAATGCTACTGAGGTATGGCTTGAGCGGTTTAAGACTTTTTGAAAAGTATTCTGCCCACCTGACAAGCTTGTCCTCCCCCTAAGACAGTGGTAGGGTCCCATCCTCCGCCTTAATTAGGACTGTGCACTTTTGAGCGGCCGCCGGTCATCTTCCTGGAGATCTGTTAAGCTTTTGTCCCAATTGTAAAAAAAAAGTCCCTGGCGGGTAGTTCCCGGGCTGTTTTTGACACTTTCAGCCGTGGGACTCCCCGCGGCTACCGGGCTATTTTTCTTTGGCCTGTCCGGGACTCAAGAAGAATTCAACTTAAGTTCTACGCTGGCCACGCTGACATAAAATTCAGGACGTCAAGTTAGCGCTTTATTCTGCCTGTACACAGACGCTGGTAAGGCACAGGTGTGAGCTTATGAA